TCTTTAGTTTACACAACCATTAATAATTATTACAGTTCAGAATACAATAATTTTCATCAATCATCTCTTGTCCCTCTTTGTTATCATTTACCACCAAGCATTCTCTGCCTTTTTGAGCAATGAACTTCATAATTTTACTCATGCACTTCGCCTCACCCACTCTAACCACTATCTTACATCGAACCGACAACTCCATTATTGGATTGTTGTGGAGAAATCAGACCTCTTTCCATCCACTACCTCCCTCATTCACCTACCCGCCACCAGCAACATCGCCTTCTTGCACCAAATTTCGCACCACTATCTCTTCATTCTCCCAATCATAGCAACCTGGCTTCAAAACCGCCACCATCCTCGGCAACCTCTCCATACTATTGATTCTTATCCTCTCATTAACCTCAAAACCGGGAGAAGGTACTCAAGTGCATCAAAACTCCCTGGTCCCACGTGCAATGCCTCTGACAGCAGGTCCTTTTGAAGTTTCTGACAGGTTGACAAGATTTTCGTCAACTACTTGTCTCTAGGTCGAATTCAGTCGTTAGTTTTTCCTATGGTTTCTGCGATAACACAGGCAAAGTCGGAGTAAGCGTCCCTAACAAACAGCCCACGGACCGCACGAGTCTTTCCTTCTCTTCCTTGGTCTTTCCTCAACCCGTTACACGCACTTGCACTTACATGAACCACATGATGAAAGACTGGTATGAGCATTAGAGCTTGTCACGACTGGTGGAGATATCTGGATGTGAGGAGAAATCCATTTCCCGACGGTAGGTTTGACGACGGAATCTCGCCGAATCCAGTCAGGGGAAGAAGATTCATCGTAACTTCCGAGACAGAGAGGAAATCGTGCAGGAACCCCTAGCCAGACAATATGACCTCATATACGTAGCCGCCACCCGGAATCACTAGCAACCAACCAACCAATCTATACTACTCCGCTCCTACACCACCACAACCACTACCTCTTCTGCAACCCGGTATATTTCCGATCATCCCGGCCCACCACCACATACTGTTGCCACCCGCATCTGACCTCCTCTTCCAGCGCCCACCTCGTCCGACCTGCTCCGCCGCCCCGGGGTTGCGCCCGAGAACGCGCCCCAGAGGCAGCGCCTTCAAAAAGCCAAACGCCGCCTCAAAGAATATTCTATTGAACCCCTGAGGGAAAAACCGGAAGCGGCGCCTCGCGCCACACGGCGCAAGCCGCGAGTCTGGCCCGGCCCGGCCCGGCGGAAACCACGGCGCCACAGCATTGTTTCATAAATTGCCAGAGCGCCTTTGCCCTCATCCCGCGAGATAATAGTCAGATAAAACAGTCGACGTCCACAGATTTTAAATTGGGTCAAACAATGATTCCGAACGCAGGCAACAGGCAAAGTAAGGTTTTTGACCGTGGAGGCTTGTTGTTCATTTTTCAATGGGTAAAGGGCTTTGACTCGAGAAGGATTTTATTGCACTTCTTTAAGTGAATTTAAAAAAGTGGCTGCAAACTTTTCTTAGAATGAGTGAATATTGAATCTCTTGCTGAGTGATTAGTCCCTAACTGGAGTCGTTATTGCGATTTATTCTCCTACTCTAACGCTGTGATCGGCGCCAACCTACAGTCGGGTATGAGGGTTTATCTCACTCAGGTATCGCTCAAAGCATGGCACTCGGGAACGAGCTCTAACTTCCAAACTTATCTATAGAGTGTGTGGAGGAGAGGGAAGTGCAAAGTGGAGCTTAACTGAGGTTTCGAAGTCATTGTCGAAAAAATTTTATTTTAGTGGAAAATTCATTAATATTAAAGTTTAAGAGTTGATAATGTTAATAATTGTAAATATAGTTATTGTTAGAGTTAGGTCATTATTTACGTCTAGAAAACTTCTGGTTAACATACTGACCCTGCCGAAAAATTAATAATAATAATAATAATAATAATAATAATAATAATAAATAATCATAATATAAATAATTTAATATGAATTAAAGAATAGCTCATTAAGTTCTAAAAATTAGACGCTTCGTATTTGGAACCTGTTTATGTTTTAAATAATCTATCTCTCATATTTCAACCGAGTTCAGTTGATGATTAATTATAAATCATTGAGTGAAATTAAATTTGTTGCACACGAATTTAATATTAGAAATTACGGAACCCGTTTTAAAACATAGAAAATTAGTAATATCGATGTTTTGTTATCGATGTCGCATCATTAACTTGCATCACCAATAGCAATCCGTACCGACTGCCACTGAGTTTAACCGTTGAATTGTATCGAATTCATGGTGGTCTCAGTGTTGCGGACGATACAAATAAATTAGAGTAATCAAAAGATTGGCTCACAAGGAAATGGTTGACGTGCACGTCATTTGTTTGTACAAGACATATGTGGGAAGTCTAACACTAGAGCGTGAAAATGAACATTTGAGCAAGGACGCTCGTACACATAGGATTTTGTGTTGTAAGAGCACTATTTCTGATAAGATTACAGGAAGTTCAGGACGATTAGGTAGAGTAAAAGGTAGCCTACTTGTAAGTGGTGTTTCTTGTTGAGCTGAAGCTCAATTGAAACCGTTCTACTGGTTTAGCGATACCACGTTACTGACCTATCTTCTGAGGTTTAAGGACTATGGCAATTTCAGCGCTAGGCTGGAGATGAAATGAATGTTCTATTTCTCAACATTTGGTACTCACTTTTCATTATGAGCTGCAAGTGATATTCTAGGCATATCTCGTTTATACTATTAAACCAATTTTTATAAAAATGTTTTATTTAGCTAATTTCCTGTCCTCTCATGTGTTTCATCTTAGCTTTTTTCGATAGTTTTATCACCATTAATTGTATAATCGTTGAATTGTTCAAATATTAAAATGTATTGTAATAAATAGATGTTTAAGAATACTATTTTCATTTCATTACTCACAACCACAAATGGTAAAGATATAGAAACATTGTTATTAAATATATTCAGAAATATATTTGTGACGGGTTTTGTGTAGAGAAAATCCATTAAATTTTCCAGTGAGAAACCTGTCATAAATTCCATCAATATCTGTTAATGCAATAAATATAGATACATGCCCGTATACATGCAATGTTTCCATCACGTTCGTTAACCTTTTTAAATAAACATTTTGAACTTCATGGACCACTGTGTCGATGCTCCCAGGTGCATTATGTTACCACCATTCGGCAAATCTCCCCCCCCAAAAAAAATCCGCCCTTCGAACAAAAAACAAGACTGGAGACCAAATTTCGCGTGTCACTCATTTGGAAGCACCGAACGTAGTAATTATTCGGTCGCGGGGGAAAAACGAATGTTAATTTTTCACTTCTTCCATTATAGTGAAACGCTTTTTCCGTCGCCCTCCCAGCACCCCCCCTGTCCCGCACTCGCAATCGATGTCCCTCGCTGGCATTGTTTCAGCCCTTCCGCCCTTTGTCTTCCCAAAGGGCATTGTTCGAAGGTTGCTGTACATGGGTTTTAACGGAAACACGCGTATGTCGCCAGCTTAATGTAAAAAAGAAGGTAGGGTGGCAGGGAGCGTCGCGTATGAATTGAATTTAAAATAGCTTCATCTCTTTAATGATATGACAGGATGTGACAGGTCACATTGTTCGGGGCCTGAAATGATGTAAATATGTATTGCCAATTAGTTTACGTTTTGTTTAGTCCTCAAATAGGTAGGATGTTATCGGGATTTGATGGAGTTTTACAAAATTGTCTCCACAGTCTTTCTCGATTTTAGAAAAAAAACAAAGTAGAACTAATGAAGTTTTTCGTTACACACAACTTTTATCGGCATAAATTTCTTCTCGATTTCTCGACCTTTTTAGAAAATACGCACTAGATTATTTGTTGTAAAACTGAACGGAATTATGTTGAAACTTCACAGGAAGATATTTACTCAGCTCTTTGTTACGAACAGAAGAAGGGCTATCAAAATGAAAACGGATGTTGGAGCCTGCAAAATGAAATTCTTTCGCTAGTGGGCCGCATGGCACTTTGCGATTATGAGCGAAATGAAAAACGTTAGTCCTGAATCAGATGTCCTTGCGTTCATAATGAAAGGCCTGGGAGGGCAGGGTAGATGGCAGAAAGTCTCGTGACATTGAGTTCTCTATTCGAAGCTCAGGGCACCCGTTTTAAATCTTTTAATTGCATGGTGGTTTGTAACAAATGCTGAAATGTAGAAAGGTATCATATCGGAAAGGTTTGTAGAAATGGGAAACGTAATTCTTTGAATTATAAAAAGGAATCGAGGAAAACTTTAAATTTTAAAGGAGACTTCTTATAATATCTATTGTTGGAATTCCGATAAGATAATGTTGACGTTATTAAAGGATGAAATAATTGAAGTCATCTTTGTCAATTTTGACGAATTATGAAAGCCGACATTTTACCACTTTGCCATCATCGTCACTCTTGCTGTATGTGGCGAACGTCAGGAGACAGTGCCACTCGAAAATGAAATAAAATTCGTTCTTCATTGAATAATTCATGTAGTGAAATTTAAATGAAAACATTACGACGAGTATTGTTTGGTAAGCCAAATTAATTTCAGTGACATTCAGTGAAGCACAACGGAGATATCATTCAAAAAGAAAATAATGTTAGATACCTTAATAATTGAATCAATCTCATATCTAAATTTGACTAGAAGTATTACAAAATATGCGTTTGGCTGAATTAAAAGTATGTTTGCTGCTTCCTTTCCAAACTACAACAGATTGGTACACAGTATGGAGATATCTCCCGAAAATAATTAAAAACGCACATTATTGAATAAATCCTATAATTAGAAGTTTGTAGAATATGTAAATTAATTGGCATACGGTTGGCTGAACCAAACGCATTTTTGCTGCTTCATTTCCGAACCACACAAGATTGATATGACGAGTCGTGTCATGGAGATATCATTTCAAAAATAAAATAAGATACATTCGTCATTGTATACTAAGTATACGCATATCTCTTAATACTTCTATTCAACTTTAGATATGGGATTTATTCAATTATGAATGTATCAATTTTTTTTTCATTTTGAGTGATATAGCAGCTTTAATAAATACCAATCTAGTGTTTATGAAAAAACAAAAAAAAACAAAAACAAAAAAACAACAACAAAACATTTCGTCTAGCAAACAATGCCCGTTGTAGTGTTTTCACTCAAATTCAAGTACAGAAGTGATTCACTGCTGATCGCACAAGTAGGAGGGCGTGAGGGACTTACCGAGGTTGAGGTACTTCTTGTGCACACTCTCGTACGCTGTCCACTCGATGTTGCGAAAGCGGTTCCGCTCCGCGCCGCGCGCCCCCAGGCTGGGCTCGGGCTCCTGTGGCTCGTTGGGATTCCTGCGGGCACACGGGGCGCGTCGTTAGTCCTTGCGGGACGAAGCTTTATCTTATGGTAAAGGAAATAATCTCCACAAAAGGTTTAATCATTTTTATTAATTACTTTCCAGAGTTAACTTTCGGGAAAACACTTTCCCCATCCTCAGTGGATCTCTCGCATGGAGGAGAAATGAAAACATTAACATAAGTTGAATACAAAAGAAGGGAGGGTAAAATGAATTTAGTGGAAAAAACAAACAATCATATAAATACAAATTGAAAATACTTACTGCCCAAGCAACGTGGATCATCCATGAATGTTCACAACGTGGTCAAAAAATATGAAAACTGCAAAACATGCTGGTTACTAGCATGTTTTGCTGTTTTCAAACATGTTGTAACCAGCATGTTTTGCAGTTGACAGTTAACTCTGGAAAATAATTAATAAAAATATTGAACCTTTAGTGGAGATTATTTCCTTTACCATACTATGGATTACCATAAGATATCTGCTACCACCACGGAATTTATTGAAGGTTTATCTATTGATCTGTTCATTGTTTTGTGTTTTCGGGCGCGACATATGGGTGTGGTGTAGTGTTTTTATTACGGCAGTTTGTTTTCCCCACTAGATGGTGTGATCCGACGGCGACCTAAACGTCGTTTTGCATGGTTTTCACCATCCAGGTGTCTTCCACTAGCGCGGAATCGCCACAGACGGAACAAGATCTAAGCCCCAACGGTCTTGTAATTAAGTGGTGTGGTAATTAAGAACATGGGGGTTACAGCAGAACAACTCCACTTTCACTTCCCATCTCGGAGAAAGCATACGTACGACCCAATAAAAATTTCTAAATTTTACATATTGAAAACAAATGAAAAAATATAATAAATGAAAATTTGCAATCCAAAAATTGGTATAAAATCCTTCTGCTTTCTGCGTTAATGTACAACGAATACACTTCTTTATTTAAAATCCTCAACCGCTCCTACATTCTCCAATACGTTTCCTAGCTAGTCAAAAACCCGTCCAGGACACAACATGGCATTGGCGAGGGTGCATCTGGCATAGCATGCAAGCTTGTGACATAACATACATCACTCATACCCATGCAAAGAATAAGGTTGTATGTTGTATTTTCGCATGGACTTTATGTGGCTTTCTCAAGAGAAAAAACCTTTTCTAATATTTTTGTGACTATCAAGGAAAGCAGAAAGCTAACTGTCGAAAATATTGAATAATTACTTCAGATATTTTCAAGTAAGTGTAACTTTTTTGAAGACCATCTCTCTATAATACTGAATAAACCTCTATTGATTTGTTTCCAACACCAATTGCATTGTTTTATTTTTCTATGATACTCTGTAAGTACCTGAAAAGTTACATTTATATATTTGTAAACAAATAAACACGTTTAATTAACAACTTTCCTTCATAATATGGAAATGGAAGGATTGGGGGAAGGGTGGGTTTAATATGCGAACGTTCTTGCACTAGCATGCTAGTAGTTTATATAGTTGTGACGTACATCAACAATCTGCATCTTTACTGACACTTAAGAGGCTTATAATTGAATCTTGATTATTAATTTGAGGCTATAGTAACAGCTTTTACAGTTTGTTTATCTCATGGCTTATTATTTATCTACTTCACAATTGACATCTTTCGCCACAAAGTGCTGGTGTTTTTAAAACTTATCAGTAAGATAACTTGTCTGTATGAATCTGATACTCACAGTATACAGACGTAAGGTAACAAACATTGAGTGAATTTCAGTTTCAATGTATGTGAGACGTAATTAATTTCAGAGAATGTCTTTATCAAGAACATGTGATTAATTCGATTGAATGAAAACATAATAATGCTTATTTCGAGTGTTTGCAGAGTAATAATAATAATAATAATAATAATAATAATAATAATAATAATAATAATAATAATAATAATCATCATAATGTTAATGCCGATCGGATGGCCGAGGTCGCAAAGCCAGTAGTATAGTGGCGCTCTCGAACCAAAGGCTCGCGAGTTCGAGTCCCTCCTCGTGCATGGTCTCATTCATCATCATCACAATTTTATCCCATCTCCTCGGGCTAACTATTCTGGGGTATAAAAATGGAATCAGCATTAAAACGTTTATCCCCCCAAATAGAAAGTAAAGTGCACCAACTTCGATATTCAAGACTGACCTCCGGTGGGATACACGTATCGCGTGACTGCCGATTTGTGATAATAGTAATAATAATAATAATAATAATAATAATAATAATAATAATAATAATAATAATAATAGTACATGTAATGAATGTGAAGACAAAATAGCCGTCAGTTGACTATACTCTTTAAAAAAAGAACTGCATCGCCCTTATTGAACTATCATTTGTTCAATGTAAAATGATATCCGCTATTCTTACAGAATTTGAACGAACAATTCTGTGACATGAATTTTCCATATTTGTGGCAAATGCACACACTTTGGAGCCAGTCCATTATTTCCCGTCTCACACAGTATCGGTTCCTGGTGAAATGGACTACACTGGTTAACAGTATCACGTGCATTGAAAGGGGCCAAATGCAAGCCTTTATTGAATAAAATACTGCTGGCGTGCTTCAAATCCAACAGAAAATTCTCTATTGAGGGTCACAAAAGGCTGCCGGACATATTTCCGATGCTGAGCCCCTGGGTGTTTCGGCTAAGTGTGATACAGTAATGTGCTGCGGAATGCCTATCCATTCAATATTGTGGGATCTGGCATATTTGTATACAGAAAGAAAAGACAAGGTGTAGAAAATCATATTTTGTGCTCATTTAATTTTAAATGAGTTTTATTAGATAGATTATGTGTAACACGTGAATAAACGGAGTTGGTAATGAGATTTTGCGATCCAAAAACAACAATACTGTCCCTCTGCAAACTATTGCTAGCCATTCAATAAAATACAAATGTCAGGATTGAATATTTTGTATGAGAACTAAGAGAGGCTTTACATAAGTGGATTGCGAAATGGCGTATACTCATAAAACTAGTGGTGATAAAAGAGCACTTTCTCGCATTATTTGTAACTTACGCGATTTTCAAAAATTCACAGAGTTAAACAAAAAATAGATCTCTCCCATTCTTATAAGAGATCCTTGTTCTATGCACGAAAAAATTGAAATGTGACAGTAGATTTTGAGAACTTTTTTATAGTTTGAATTAACTTCGAGCAGAAATTGCATTAAAATTACTAGTTTTTGTAATTGTACATGGTCATTTGCAAAGATTTTTTGAACGTATTTTGTAAAAGACAAAAGTCTCTATCGTAAAATTATTAGTTTTGATTGTATACCTTTTCATCGAGAGATGAACTGAGTAGCAGACCATTTGTCGTCAATCGATTTTTCGGTATCAAGGATCCACACAACATCAGTTCTGACTACAGAAATATTAAAAGTAATTTACCATATACAGGAACAAGTTTTATCCACTTTTTCGTAATCAGTTCCCATAAATTGGAAAGTTTTTCTTTCGAATATTGGGCGTTTCCCGACGCACGGACACAATACTTTCTCGTCTTATAAGCGCAAGAAAGTAAAAAACATATATTGAAAATTCGTCTCGAAATGGATCACCACAAATTATGAATCCTTTGGCAAGTTTTGAGTTCCAAAATCAATGAGAAAAGGCAAACATGATTGTAACAATCTTAAGAGTCGCACAATTTATAATTGATATGAATATGACACATTTTTGACTTCCAATTGACTTTGTTGAAATACGTTTAAATAATTTCCAAAAAATCGGTTTCATATTTTCACTCTGATATCTCAATCTCAAGAAGTACTATCAGTTTAACTTGCGCTTAGTTATCGCTTCGGAAGAAATAGCGAACAAATAAAAGGTGGTTATGAACGATTGGTTTTCAATATTTTTTGGCGAAAAGACATCCGATGGATAAGAAACAAGTAGTTTCACATGGTGTTTGTGAGTCACGACGCTGCCTGCGAGTGTAAGGACTTTTCTACTGGCTTCTGGATTATTGACTACGGCAAAGTTATGGGACATCTCTTCGGTTTTGGTTGATCTGGCAAGTCCTCGGCACATCTCTGTATGTTGTTCAAACCTGAATAAAAAATGTTTTATTGAATTAGTTTGTTTTGTTCATAACACCGTCCACTCCACCCGTTCTGTTCAATCTACCCCCTCCATCCGGTCATACTCGGTCGCGCCTCGTGTCACCCCACACCAATGGCACCCAGATATATCAGAGATTGTATTTAAATGAATGTTATAAACGAAACATATTTTGAGGTGACATTTTTAATCGCAACAGCACTATTTTTGGTCTTGTCCACTTGAAGGTAATCGTGCCAAATTTGAGAGTAAACAGTCTGGTGATTCTGACCTTTTTAGGTCGCATGTAAACATAATTTGGTATAATTTGGTCACTTGTATTTGGTAGATAATATTATGAAAAATAGTTGGATAAACACTAGTTGGTCAAAATGAGGCATTCCCTCAGTTGGGATTAATACACATAGTGAATGTTTGCCTGCTTCACAACACATATCACATTGGATTCTTAAAAGTCTAGAATAATTTAAGTCTTTTATGAATACGAGTATGTTGATTTCTTATGCGAGTTAATATATTGTCGGGTGAAGCAAATCAGAAATTGTAATACGTAGACGTAAGTATTTTTTTCTTATACTGAATTTTACAAGGGGATTACCAGTGTGTACTGAGGCCATGAAAAAATC